ACAGACAAGTTGCTGTTGTTTTGTTCTTCAGTCTAGTTGTGGAGGACGTTGCTTCACTGGCCCAAGTTGGCACCATCATTGCACTCTTCCTGGGCGAGGCAGATCAGTCACCAGCTTCTGGACATCCGCTCACTGCGGCTGCTAGCCGCTCACGCTGGCTGCTGGCTACATACGATAGCCCAGGGCAACCCACTGCCACAGGGACTACAGCCTACGCCGTCGCCGGCGACTCACAGCAGCCCAGCTCCAGGTTGAGCTGTTGTTCAGCATCTTAGCTGTGGAGGGCAGTGTCACTGGCCCTCATGTGTGGGATCCGAACCGGGACCCTCTGGCATCCCAAGCCAGTTCTTAACCATCGCGCCACTCGGCCGGCCCTCCCAAGCCAATTCTTAACCAACGCACCACTCAGCTGGCCCATAAGATCTTATTCTTAACCCAGCATTATCAGTTGTAGCCAATTAAAACGCCTAAAGCATTTATATTCACTCACAAAGGAAAAAGTATTGTAAGAAAATGGACTTTTTTTCTTTTTGTATCTTGCAGGTTAGTTCAGTGTTACCTCTCACATGAATGGAAATGAATACATTTTCCTTCTAAATGAATAACATTGTTTAGAGCAAATCTGCAATATATTTGGAAACTGACTTGCCCCAACTCAGGCTTTCTCTAAAGGTGTCCAGTTAAAGCCAGTCACTGGGAAGGGAGCAAAACAGCGCCACCAGCTTCCTGTTGCCTGGATCTTTTATTACATTGGCTCATTAAAACTCCTTGTTTGTATTTGCATTTTACTCATGGGCAATTTTACAACACAGAATAGTGATAAGCTTGCAGACAAATCCTACTCGTTATGTTTAATCATAACTACAATAAGGGAGATCATCATATCATGCCTGTTTCTCAAATACACTGCAGTGATTTTAAAATAAAATCAGTCAGTACCTTACAATAGCCTTGGCACAAGCTCTGTCTCTCTTTTCTTCAAGATGAGCTCTTGAAACATAAAATAAAAAGCATACCAGAAATTTAGAGGGGTCTCCATTTTTTATTAAAATGGATGATTAAAACTAAGGAAAAGCCTTGTGGGAAAGCCAATGTGTGTGTGTAGAGAGAGAGAGGAAAAGAGAATGGATGAATATCATTAAAGGGTTAGCTGATCTTCTGTGACTGCACCACACATTTGTGCTCTCAGACATCCATCTTAGAGTGCTCCGAGAGGACCCCCGTATTGTTTTGAGTTGGTCTCCTGCATATTAAGGTTTATGCTATAGTTTAACAGAGCCCATGCTTCAGTTTTTGGCATAAGTTACTAATTTTCTTATGCTAATGAAAAACACACATCAGCTCCTTGAAATTCCCCAAAGCAGCACCAGTTTTGCCCTAATTGCAGCACTGTTGGGGCAGTGGAGGGAGATGGGGAGCGATTATAACAGCAATAGCTGGGAGAGGTCTCTTTGCTCCCTGAGTGGTCCTCTAACTGAGAACTCCTGGCCCTGAGTTCTCATGAATTTTAAGAAATTGGAAGCTCCCAAGAGCACTGGCATGCAATGAAATAATAGAACCCTGGTCTAGGAGATATGAGGAAGAAAGTCAGGCTCAAACTTTAAACCCCAGCAGAAGAGAATTTGAGACATAATCATTTGATCTTCTGTCTCACCCTGACAAGATATTCCTCATCAGGGCCAAATGCTCTCATACTGGCTTCTCCAACAACTGACACCTTATGCATGAGAATATTCTAATGAATCTGACAGGCACAAATCTAATAAATTGATTTTCCATGAAACATAATTTTCAAACCAGAGGACTTTGGGATGCTGAAAATTCACCCAAAACTCTGGGAAAATCACCAGAGGGTGTTTTCTCCCCTGAAACCTACCTCAGGTTTTTCTAATCCTAGTTAGGAATGCATAAAAATCAGCTTTGCTCAATAGAATTTGTTCTATGGATAAAAGCAGAAATGTCCCAAAAGGGTTGAAGACCCCATTACACGCAATACCTCAACTTGTACATATTCAAAATACACATGCACTGCAGATATTTTAGTAAAATTACTTGCTGCAAAGCATGAACCAGGCAGGAAGCCGATGCACAATGAATTGATTCCCAAGTCTTATTTGTGGCTGATTTGAGGTTAGAGAGCATTTCTGTGCTGGGTGGAGTGGTAAAATGAATGTTTATTGTTTAGGATTTAAAAGGCCCATTATCATGCAGACTCAGTAAGGTTCTGCCACACAAAATTGAGTGCCAGGCCAGCAGGCAACTGATTCAAGTGACAAGAGGTGAGCTGCAACAGCCTTTCCATGTTAATAAAACATGTCCCGGCACTCTAAGGAACCCTAGCACAGTATGAGAGCAGGTAGAACTTATTAATCAGAACTACCGTTAACTCTAATTATAGGTTTCCCCCCAATTACAAAATAAAGGGCAACAAAGCAATGTTTTGTAAATCGAATCCTGTATTTCCATTGAATCCTCTTATTGTAATTGAAAATGAGCATTGATAGAAAATAAAAGATGTTTAATCTCATGAATAGAGAGATGTCACACATGAATAGTGACTGTTAGATATCTCCGTATTCAATTTACCACCTTTAACCTTGTAATCTTTAGTTCTGGCTGAAGGGCCCATCCAGGAGTCAGGAATAGTGATATAGGACCTTAAGTAAGACAGGTTCCTCATCTCCCAGAAGTAAGGTGTTGGACTAGATAAGTTTGATGCAACTGTTGGGAAATCACAGATACCCATGAGTACTTTTTGAAAGCTATGGACCCTCTCCCCAGAAAAATACACTTACACACATGCAGAGGACATATGGCATACAACATCAAGAATAAATCAATAAAAGCTATTCAAGAATCCCAGGTTTAAAACCTTCTATGAATTTGGTTTCTTAACCAGCTTCCACATGGAGATAACAGATTATAGACATTAAGCTTTTGTGCATTCCCAGGCTCTGTCCTTGCCTGACCAAGAAGCATGTTTCCCCCTTTCTTCATGTCGGCCACCTCTACACAGCATCGACAGGGAAAGATTTTGCTCTAAGGAACACATATTCTACTACATAAAATACCAATCTGTCCCACCATGAAATACAATTACCTGTATGAATAGGTCAGAACTTCAAAGGAGGTAAGTGCAGGCAGGTTGCATTCAATAAAGGCCTATTGAGTGATGTCACACTGCACATTGCCACCCATCTCCATGTAGTGACTTTGCTGGTCTACACTGTGGAGTCCTTGCTACCTCGCTTTTGAAACTTAAAAACATAACATTTGTCATTCCACCTAAAAATAATTACTTTTTAGCTTTTAAATTTTAATGTATAATAATATACTTTAAAACCCTCATGCTCATCCCTAACACTCCCTTCATCCTTAATACTATAATCCTTACCCTCAATTTAACCTTAAATAAAGGGCATTGCCACTTATTCTAGGTGAGGATGGGAGAGGTAGAGATAGAGTCAGGGTCAGAATGAAGATGAAGCTCAAAGGTGGAATGAATGTCAGGAATGGGATGGGAATTGTAGCTAAGGAATTTGTATTTCAAGGTCACTGAATCCTCACACTTTTTCTTCACTTCTCTTACTAAAATTTAATAAAATTTTAATCCCAAAAAGTGGTTTTTAGTTCTTGTAAAGTCCATATTCATGTAAACAGATTGTTGTTGTTGTTGTGTGTGTGTGTGTGTGTGTGTTAAAAAAAAAACCAAGAACCTTGAGTAAATCAACCCAGAATTACTCTGAGAAGTTTAATATGCCTATTTATGACATATATAAGGGTAAAGGGGGTAAGTAGTCAGTGTGGCATCTGTCCAACATTGGGACACTGAAATGAGTTCCAGTATTGAAGTCACCAACCAAGTGACAGAGCAACATTATTGCAGTGAGAAAAGATATTTACAGTACATAAAACCAAATCTATCCAGACTTTACAAAGATTTCTACAAGTCAATAAGAAAACCACAGACAAATCAATGGAAATACGGGAAGAGGCTTGACACACTTCAAAAAGAACATATCCAATGGGCAAAAAAAATATATAAGAAAACATACTCAATCTCATTAATCATCAGGAAAATGCAAATTCAGGTCTAAGTAAATATCACTATCCACTAGAATACAAAAATGAGAAAGGCTGACAATACCAAAGGTAATAAAGATGTGAGGCAACTGAAACTTTCATATACTGCTGATAGGAATGTTGAAGATACCTTTGGATCAAGAAATTTTACTCCTAAATATGTACTCAAATGAATTGCATGCACATATATGCCAAAATCATATGGAAAAGTGTGTTCATAGTAACATTAATCATAATAGCTCCAAACTACAAACAACCTAAATGTTCATCCACAGTAGAACGGGTTAACATATGATAAGTACATTCATAAAATGGCATGTCAAATGACAAACTAGACTTAGATGCAATAAAAATAGTGAATTTTATAAACATTATATTGGAGAAAAGAGGCAGATACAAAAGAATATCACTCAGAATCCACTCATGAATTTCAAAAGTAGGCAAAACTAATCTGTGATTTTAGAATTTAAGATGTGGTTACCATTGGAAAATATATAAGCGACAGCAATCGAGAGGGATTCAAGAGAGTGGTGCATCTTTGATTTTTCTATTTCTTGACAAGAGTGATGGTGTCACACACGAAATCATTTTGTGATCATTTATTGTGCTATACATATACAATCTGTGTACTTTTCTAAGCATATCATACTTAAAGACAAAGTTAAGAGAGATCATAGGCATAGATAGGACCATAGACTGAATCTAAAAGGCTGAAATCTAGGGCCGGCCAAGAGGCTCAGTTGGTTAAGAGCTCGCTCAAGAGTTTGAGCTCTGAGCAACAGCGATTCAAGTCCCGGCCCGAGCTGAGCAGCCGCTGAGCTGCCAACAGGTGGCAGGATGGCTCAGCTAAAAAAAAAACACAAAAAAATAAAAGGCTGAAATCTTTGTTTCTCATTTACAAACTGTGTGGCCTTGGGTAACTGATGTAATTTCCCTCAGCCTCAGTTTTTCAGCTTTAAAATGAAGATAATACTTATCAGCCTTGTATTACTAAATGGGAAAATTCATTAAAATCATTAAATATGGTAAATAACAATCTAGCCCATCCCCTCAGTTTACAAATGAACAAACCAAGAGACAGGAAAGTGATGTGCCTTGTTCAGGATCCTTCAGTTAGCCTGTTGCCAGGGCCAGAATTCAGGCTTATATTGGATAGCACTCAAAGCAAAGGCAGCTATTGTACTGTGAATTCAAAGTGAACAGAAGACACCCTTTGGACCATTCTGTTTGCTACTTTTATGAGTGTCAAGAACACAAGACGAGACAGAAATTTCTTCTTCACTTTGATCCTGGCTATAGCTACAACTCAGCCAGTTTCTTTAGAGCAACCCTGGAAAACAGATAAAAAAATCAAATAGTAATTAAGTCAATTCAAAAATATTTACTGAGCACATACTATATGCCAGACACCATTCTACACTCAGAATTTATTAATAAACAAAAGAGGCAAAATGTTTGCCTTTTAATTTATCCTAGCATATAGTAGGCAGAGAGGGAAGGAACTGGACAGTGAAAGTTAATATGATTCAAAAACATATAATGTTTTTGAAGGTAATAAGTGCCTGTCATAAAATGTAGGTTTTGTTATTATTCCAATATGGTGAGGCCAACAGATCAGGGGATGACTTCCATCGAAAAGATAGTTGTTATACTCACAAGCCGCAAGAGGAGGAGGCACACCACCACTCTCCAGGGTCCACACAGGGAAGCAGCAGGGTCCGTCAGGAGTCAGAAGAAGAAAGAGGGAAAATGTGGAGAAGAGACTTGACTGTGGTTTCTGCAAGCAGAAACAGGTAAGACAGGGTAAGCAGGCTTAGGATTGGCTGCCTGAGTAATTTGAATAATTTGGTTTGAATGATTTCAGCAGATTCTGGGTGTGTAAGTATGCCCTGGATTGATGAGGGCAGGGAAATATTGTCCCAGAGTGGGTAGTTGGGCACATGGGCTCTGGATTGGTTTGTTTGCATATGGAAGTACACTCATGGGCCAGTTGTTTACCATTTCTAGGAAATGGCTAACCCAGAGAGGGGCAGTCTCTCCAGAGTCAGCAAGGCAGCAGACACCAAAGCTTCAGAAACACCTGGTTAATGCAATGCTCTGAAAAACAAAGAGGTCAGGGGATGAGAAATAATAATGAGGAGCTAATCACCATCACCAAATTCAGAATATTTATCAAATAAATCACCAAATGGACATCTGAATCTTTGTTGAGTAGATTTATATGTTTCCTTTTACTTTTTTAATTTAGTCCTTAGCTGTCAGTGCAGAATTGACTGACAAATAGGAGAAAACATCTTGCATATGGAAATTATATCACATTTTGTGATGAGGCACAACATTATAAAATATGAAACGGTGGTTTGTGTTAGCTATGTACTTGTGTAGCACAGAAGCCCAGGCAGATAGAAGCTTTAAGTCATCATTCTGCCAAACAGCTGCCTACTTCATGCTTACATTCTCTGTACTCAAATATTCATCTCACAGTCAGGTCACCTACCCTAAAGCATCCCCACATAACTATAGTTCTATGAAGAAATAGCATGGAGATAACAGAACAATTTATTGTTATATGCAGTTACTATACACTGTCCTAAATAATGAACAGTGAAAACTATACAATGATTCTGGCACCAATTTCTAACCTCTCCTCACTATGAGATAATTATCTTCAATCAGTTCAGTTAAGAGAACAGTTCAGATCTATGTCCTTGCTTAATCCTCTTCACTGTCAATCACTAAGAAACAGAAGCTGGTGGTAGGGCAGACCTTGGTGAGTACAGGAAAGCAGAATGGAGGACAATTCAAAATTAACAAGTAATAAGTGGGAGTTACACATGATGAATCCAAGAAATAATGACAAGAAGGAAAACGCTTTTGCAAACATTTTTCAGACACTGTTATTGTACGCATAATCAAGGCAATCACAACCTGTCCATATAACACTTCTGCAGAGAAGGCAGCAGAGACCGGGGAGTTTTAAGAGGCCCCAGAGTGGTTAATGGGGGAATTAGCACAATTCAGAAAAGACATTAATTAGGTCAATCTGCAGTTTTGAAAAACTTTAGCGCCTCTCCAACAACTATTAGTGAATTAATGACCCCAGTTACTGAACAATGCACAAAGATTAACACAAAAAGTTGGGCAGTTTAAAACCAAGCTTTCAAAGGGAAGTCTAAAGAGAAAGCTAACAAAGTTGGAAATCTACAATAAGAATTAATGGAAGTCTGTTCATGAATTATAAAAACAGATATATATGAAATAATGGATTTTTTATAAAGAATCCCCAGCACAAATTTTACAACGAAAAAGAAGGGAATACCCAGTGATATTGAGCCTAAAACGATTGTATAATTTCTCTAAAGAAAATATTTAACTTGTGTAGAGTATGAATTTGCTCAATAATACTTGAGCCATGAATCATCCCAATAATTTGTTGATCTTTAAATTAACTCCAGCACCAGTTTCCTTCATCAGGGTGGGGTGTCATATTTTTAGGAGCCTCTCCTTTGAGCACTCCAGAACCCAAGATATTGATGTAATGCCACAGCACAGGGAAGGGACCTGACCCTTCATTTCATGGTGGTCCCCATAATCATTGCCCCTTCTGCTATGTACAGCAGTAGTCCCTGGTCATCCACTATCAAGCAACTCTGCTCCAGAAAGGACAGAGCTGTCCTTCCCGGCAGCCCCCACCGATGATCACAGAAAGCCTTGTGGGAATCCTACAGTATCACTCTATAGGGCCTCACGAATGCAGAACTTTTATCAGATAGTATAATGTTTTGCAATCATGTATTGAAAGTAATGCTTGATTTGTTAAGCAGCTACCTGGGAATTACATAATTCAAAATGCTACTTGTTTCAAAACACAGGATACCATATTCAACAAATCCTTCTGAATCTGAATCACTTAAATTTTTGTTGTTATACAACAATCAATAACCAATCAAATATCAAGATTTCATGCTCACTTTTTAATAGAAAAACCAATGCTTTTGGCATATTTTGCCAATCAATTTAGGGTATGTTACATACACTCTCCCTTACAATGAAAGATATAAAAATCAGAATTCATTATCAAGAGCTAAGGCTTCTACCTCCACACAAATAATTTCTGAATGTGTTCTAAGTAGCGTGACTGGAAAAAAAAAAAAGTAATGATCATTTTCTATGATAACTGTCAAGTTACCATAAAGGGAATCCTTCATGAATAACAAAGCATGTTGACTGACTTGAATTCCCCAGGATGGTTTTCTACCTCCTCCATGTCTATTTTAAGACTTGCTATGTGGGATTCCACACAGTTCAACAATCACAGAGTTTGATCAGCTTTAGCACATGGATCAGGGAAGCCTTCTAACATTAAAATTGGAGATGGCATAACATGATTGGGAATCTGTAAAGAAAAAGGGCTGAGGGCAAAGACATTTGATGATGTTCTTTCAGATTTACAGGCAAGTCTGCAGTAATAAAGATTAGACAAGAGATTCTAAACTTCTTTAGAGGCACATAATTAATAATTAAATAGTTTGTTTTCTTTCTAGAAGAGTAGCTAAAGGAGACTTACAATCATCACAAATTTTAGTGGCACCTTTAGTGGGAATTGCAGAACTTCTCAAGAGCAAGGGCTTTGTAATCAATTTCTGTGTAGTTCTGCTTTATGAATTGCACTGTTCTTGAATATTATGCAATGAGCACCTCTGTGCTTCCTTGCACTTGAAACCTGAATACGCACAACCCCAACACTGTGAGATGAAGTGTCAGAAAAAAAAATAGTGGGGTTTGATCACCTCAATGTACCAGTCATATACTAATGTTGAAATAAGCCCTGCAAACTCATCAGCTCGCCCAAGTGTCGTGCCTGGTTTTGCTCACTTGGGACACCAAAACATTGATTACATACTCAGGTAGATAAAACAACTCAGAAATCACAAATGATGATCCCTGAAGGGTTTTGAATTCTAACTTGGGGTTGTATGAAGAAGACAGAAGGATGTTGTGCGGGACACGACCAGGAAACTTGAACTTGGCCTTGGAAGGACTTACTGAAATGACTAAATCACATTCAGTATGAAAATCTGATTTCATTTGCTTCACACACTTGCATACGATAAACTATAAAAAAAAAATAGTGATTCTGGAATCAATCTCCAGTTCTGTCTCTCTATGGAACTGATGATAACCTTTAACCAGAGCGATTAAGAGACTATAGCACTGGTCCAATATGGATCCTCTTTAGAGCCTTGTGCTGCTGTCATCTTACATTTTCTGATACATGTTAGTCTGAGGGTCTATTCAGTTCTTGGGAATGACAAAGTAATGCTGCAGCTCTTTGTCACCATGAGAGCTCTGTACCTGGGGCAAGGGGCATAAAAAGGGCTCTCACTTAAGTGGAGATTAATGAAAATGTAGGTGAAACAAAAAGAGGGAGTGGGAAGAGGCTGTGTCCTCATGGACGCCAAGGAGTCTCCAGGCATGTAGCTCACTGACTTTGAACTTGGTTCTCTCCATTCATCTATGCTCTAAAGGCAGTGGGAGAAGTCACAAGTGACAAGAAAGGGGGCTTAAATTTTTGCAGTATCTCAAAATTTTTATCTTGTTCTTGACAGTACGTACTGCTGTGTAATCTATATTCTCTGTGCAAGAGCAGCATTCTTCTTTAAGCCATAGCAATGGGAATATTTAAACCCCTGCGGATGGTGGTGGGGGGAATGGATGCTGTGATACTTTCTATGTAATGCTAATAAGCATCCCCACCCACCACCACCCCTCCACTCCCAGATAACAGGGGCCCTGGGAATACCCAGTGGGTCACTTCTCACTGAAAACTGGGAGGGTTATAACACCAAATGTTCAAAAGCCTACAGACAATTTTGATATTCTAGAAAGTACCCTCATTCTTGGAAATCCAGAATTATTGAATTCCTTTTAATCTGTAAAATTGAATAGCTCTAAGGAGGATCACATTCTTGCTTTATTTGTAGCCTGGGCCTTCACAGATTCCATTTTCTCTTTCTTGACTGGGATTAATAATAGTAGTTTCTGAAGGTGACACCAGATGTTCCTGATCATTTTTTTTTCTGACTGTTAATAACCACAATGTTATGAACCTATCTAAGGTCTATGAGTTTGCCCTCTGTCAACTGCAAAACTAAGGAATCACTAAAATGAAGTAACACACCTGAATTCTAGAAATCAGTACCTCGTTGTGGCATTCAAGAATCCAGGAGTGATGACTGCACATCTGCAGTATTTACATCCACAACCCTGGGCAAGAACCAGTATTGAACTTTAATCCCACTGACAGAACAGTAAGGGGCTTCCTTACCTGTCGGTGCTAGGTTGGGGGCTGCTGAGGTGACTTAGATAGCCATCCTACCACTACCCAGTTCAAGGACTCCTTGTTGATTCAAGCTGAGATCATCACATTGAAGATTTGAAAATTTTCAGGAGAAATGGACAGGGGAAAAAAAAACCTAACTAATGTATAATGACTGTTTTCCATGTGTCAGGTGCTTTGCTAAGCACTTTACAAACATTATGCCACTTAATCCTTCCTACAAACCTGAGAGCAAGAGTGTCTTTCATAATACGCCACAATAATTGCAACACTGGCACTGACAAATAAATTTAATGGACACTTAACCTATCCACACCCCACCAGTCATTATGCTATACCAGTGTATACTAGCTGAATATTAAATCACATCGTACAGGTGAGAAAACTGAGGCTTAGGGAAACTCACCTGCCGAAGACATACAGCTACAGATTGGGAG